AGAGCATGGGAAAAGAAAAAGAAATAAAAAGAAATGAAAGAAAAAGGGGGGAGGAGGAATGACAGAAGAAAATTGAAGAACAGAAGAGAAGGAAGACAGGAAGGAAAGATGAGAGTGATAGAAGAATGTTGTTCAGCCCAGTGCTAAGGCCACGTCTATAGTTCAGGGTTTTCGGGAGCTGGACTGGGTGGATTTCTCTAAATCAGGCACTCCTTAGCAGCCTGTACACAGTCAGACTCTTCCTCTGCCAAAATTAGGAAGAGAAGAAAAAGAGCAAGCACAAAAAACAAGAAGGGAAACTTGAGCCAGACTACTGCTGCGGTCTACCTGCCAGACCACAGGTATGTCACAACTGCCCTCAGCAAAGAAAGGGTGGAGAAAAAAGAAACAAAGAATAAAATAAAAATTAAAAAAAATTAAAAATTAATAAAAGGAGGAAAAAAAATACTGAAAAAAGAACAGACAAAGGAAATTAAACATACCATTGAATCAAATAAAGTAGAGGGTGGGAAAAGGAATAAACCAAAAAGGCAACAGTCCAAGAAGAAAGAAAAAAGGGGGGGAGGGGATTATGTAAGCTGATGTAGAAGCACATTATGTGGGAAAGATTAGCAGAGTAGGAGAGTCTCTATCATCTGAGAGAATATTGTGGAGTGAAGTAGGGAGAGAGAATAAATCAAGCTAAAGTTCTGCAACTAACAAAAAGAGAAAAAAGAAAAGAAAAAAATACAGGAGCACTTGCTCTTGTTGAATGTAAAAATGAGTGTTAGAAAAAGAGCCAACTGTACAATTTAGCAAAAAACAAAACACATTGAAACAAGATAAAGGCTCGGCACCTGTGGCTCAACCGCTAAGGCACCAGCTACATACGCCTGAGGGGGCAGGTTCGAAATCAGCCCGGGCCGCCAAACAACGACGGCTGCAACCAAAAATAGCCGGACGTTGTGGCAGGCACCTGTAGTCCCAGCTACTTGGGAGGCGGAGGCGGGAGAATCGCTTGAGCCTAGGAGTTGGAGGTTGCTGTGAGCTGTGATACCACAGCACTCTACCCAGGGGGACGGCTTGAGGCTCTGTCTCAAAATAAATAAATAAGTAAAAATAAAATGAAACAAGATAAAAAAAAAACTCAAATAGCCTGATGTAAGCAATCTCAGCAACCAAAAGAGGAAGAAAAGAAGATTGAGAGAGAGAAAAAAAAATTAACGATGACTCCTATAAGAAAGAGAAAAAAGCAACAACAAAATATTTATACATTTATATACATACATACATATATATGACATAAAGATCCCTACTTTAGTAGGGATATATTTATGTTGCAATATACTTTCTGGATATCAGGTAGCACCATAAATTTGGGGGATGAACAACGCAGCTGTTAACCTCTCTCCAGTTCCCAGGCTTATACCTGTTTCCCAGCTAGATTGTTCTTGATGATTGCCCGTTTACCCGCTTGGCACTCAGTCCTTGCCCATCTGTGATTCCACAGTTCTCAAAAAATCTTCAGAGGCAGGATTCACAGATTCCTCCTGCAACAGTTCCTGTGGAGTGCAGGGGACCTTGGGCGTATCCGGGGAGTAGGACAGCTACACCTTTCTGGCAACAAGAAGCTCACCCACACCACCATCTGGGAACTTTTAGGACAACAGTAGTGGCCTCCTGTCAGGAGCTTTCCCTAAATGGGTATCTTACCAGCTGCCAAACCCTGGCAGAGCCACTCCAGCCAGTACCCTACTCTGGCCACCAAATTCTACTCAGGAGTGCACACTTCTCCAATCTTTCCACTCAACACCTACCTTCACCAAAGAACTGAAAACTGCAGTAGGCTTTGCAGGCTCACAGAAACTTGCCTGGCAGTTTCTGCAGCTCTGGTTTACACTCGAATTCCAGTAATCTGCCACCTCACTGCGCACCCCGAACTACCACTCCATGCTGATATTCCATACTGGGTATGACCTAGCCAACTCACTCTCAGGAGAGTGAGCTGTTCCAGGAGAGCTCAGCTAAATGTCTTTTCCCTTCCACCATCATGCTCCTATACTAAAGAATGCTTGTGAGATAAGAAATGATGTTGAAGTAAGAGAGTAGTAATATCATTCTCAGAGTTGTCTCTGTGGTTACACCTTATTGAGGAGACTGTGTTATGAGTCTTCTGCTATTTCCATTAATTTAGCAACTTAGGATAATATCTAAAGATGTAAGTTCTTTTCTATAAAAGCTTATTATTATAAGTTTTCCTTATATGTGGAGAACTTTAGAGCATTGTCAATTAAGAAAAACCATTTATTTGTGTAATTCTTGGAAGTGTGTTTCACTTAGGATGCTTTCAGTTGCAAGTAGTAAAAACTACAATGCAAAATTTGTTAAGCAGCAAAGGAAAAGTATAAAAGCAGTATTGCCTTCAGGGAAGACCCAGTACTACCAACAACTTGGTTTCTTTTCATTTATTTTCCCTACCTTCCGCTGCTTATTCCTAAAGGTTGGCCTCCTTGGTCACTTACAGGCTCTAGGTTTGCTTCTTCATTCAGGTACAGCAAGAATGAGAGAGCATCTTTATCCCATTTTCTCTGTAGGAGTCCTGAGAAGCTCTGATTGTAGTTGGTTAGATCATGTAGACATTCTTTTTTTTTTTTTTTTT